GAATTGTAATAGCCATAAATCTCCATAATCCCCACGTGTCAAGGGAGGGACCAGGTACAGGTAATTGAATTGCGGGGACAGTTTCCTCCATGCTGTTCTCGTGATAGTGAGTGAGTTCTCATGAGATCTGATGCTTTTATAAGCATTTGGTAGCTCTTTCTGTGTTCATTCTCCATCCTGCTGCCTTGTGAAGAAGGTGCCTTGCTTCCCCTTTGCCTTCTGCCATGATTGTAAGTTTCCTGAGGCCTCCCCAGTCATGCTAAACTGTGAATCAATTAAACCTCTTTCCTTTTTAAATTACCCATTTTTGGGCAGTTCTTTATAGCAGTGTGAAAATGGACTAATACAACTATGAAATGACCACTGAGACTTTCTGTTGATTTATTACTCACCCATTCAATTTTACCTAAGCTACGCAGCAACTAGAAAATGATACAATTCTGATAAATATTTCTTACTGTTTTATTTTGTTCGAGATCAAAAATTTTGGTACTATAGAAAAGCACAGTGAAATTAAGAAACATTTTTTGGAATGCCACCACAAATTACTAATTGTGGTAGATTCCAATATAGTGCTTCTCATCAGTTTTTGATTCATGCTTTTTGTAAAAAAAAAAAAAAAATTGGACAAGTTACATTAAAGGACCTCAGCAAATAGTGTCTGAAAAGACTCACTGGAGATAAGGGTGAGCTGGCCTGAAGCTTCCCTGTGTTAGACTAAGACCCCTTTAAAAATTGAGTCATTCAGGATATGACTATGCCAAGAGGCCTGTTTCCAGAAGACACAGATCAACAAAAGCCCAAGCTTCCTTAATGTGACATTATTAATTCGCTGCTTGTTAAGGAGATAAGAATTATGCTGATTATAACTAGTTATGCTTTCAGCCATGAAAAATTTCTCCTCTGCTCAGTGCTCAGATTATCGTCATTAGTCTTATCAAAAATTTTGGAGATATGCAGGTTCATACTAAGATGTGTCTAGTTCCTGGATTGTTTTATTAACATAAGCACCCAAAGTGGGCTCTTGCTTTACCTAATTTAGCTATCTATAGTGATTAACTTTATCATCAAAATTCCATTTTGTGCAGTGACAACTAGAAAGTACTGTGCAAATTCTTCTGACATGCTGGTCAATATCAGCTTTGAACTATAAACCAGAACACTGCTCATGGCAGCATGAAGGTTACAAAGCAGTGAATCTTTTCCTTTCTAAATAGGCTGCTTTATAAAGAGAATAATTGTACTGAGCAGATAGCAATGTAGGACAGAGAAGGAAGAGAAGAGGGTCATCAGTCTAGGAAGTGAAGGGCTGGGAGAAAGACAATTATCTACTTTATTTATTTATTTTTATGAATTTTGGTTTTAAACCTTTACTATCGGAGAATTAACCAATTCTCATTCTGGCTACTTTAGACTTTCTGATGCCAGAAAAGTGTGGAATAGGGAGAAAACACCTCCTTCTTTTGTTTAGAAATAGAAATGTTGTATTGGTTTGTTTTCTTTGTTCTTTTTATCAGCAGAGCCAGTGTGCCGCTATTGTTTGATGGCCTAACAAAAATGAAATCAAGGCTTTCACTGAACGTCTGCCAAATGTTGAATCGACAGCCCAGCTTCTGCAACAGCTTGCTTTAATGACCCTAGACAGCTTCTATTTGAATCATATACTGGGTCACAAGGAGGAAACAGGGATAACAGAAAGCAGGATGGGACAGAAACTAAATTAGCGCTTTGAAGGCTATTTGGACTGCTGTCAAATCAGTTCCTCAGGGAAGCAGAATTATTTATTAGCTTCCTACTACATGCGTTTTGTAGTTATGGTAAAAATTGATGTTTTGTAAAAACTCCATCCTTCTAATACAACAGAGTATATTTAACTAGTCTAAACAAATCCTTTTATGATCTTCATAATTTATCTGGGAATTTTGATTTATTGATTCTTAAAACTGTGATGACCCTATCTTACCAGTGCAGTCAAAGTTTTTATGAAAATCAGATAAGCAGCTTCTCTTCAGAGGCTTGAATCTCCAGTATTACATGGTTCACTCTGGCCCCTCAATAGGCAGAACTGAAATTTACCACTCACAGTCTGAGTTGCTAGAGACCTGAGTGAGATCTCGGGACTATGAGTTAACGAGAATGATCTGTAATAGTGATTGTGGTATTCCTAGCTGGCCACTGGTGAACCAAGCAGAGGCAGTCAGACTTTCTTTTGGACAGGCAACTCACTACCCCATTCCACCTGCTTTGTCGTACTTGATTCACCATTTCCAGGAAACCTTCAGTGGAAGAAATATTCAAGAGCATATCCTGAAGGAGAGCAACAAGGAATATTTGGTTCCCCTTCTCAATGAGAACCATTCTAATAACCTAACATTATATAATCGAATTGCCACTGAAGTCAGCAGACTCTTAAGAATGACATTAATGGGGTTGTTGTTTTAATAAATGTTGGCTGAGAGATGGCCTGACTATGTAGAAAGCCTCTTTACCTGTTGATGGCTGAATGCCTTTGGTCATTTTCTATATAAAAGTCCCCTTGAGTAAAGTTGGGTAGGGTGAGGAAGTGAGGCAAAACAAAAGAAAAAAATTAAAGTTGAAGGGGAAAATAAAAACAGGTATATTACACATTTTTGGAGATAAAACTAGCAATCCCTGCCCATATTTTGTATAGGTCATCATCACTGCTAACAGCCCAGGTAATAATAAATCCACCTGCTCCCTTCTTAAAATATTGAGAGAGTGTTCCCATTGTTGAGCTACGTTTTTCCTTTTCTTAAAGCATCTTTTAATAAATGGAAGAGGAAGCACGTGAGTTAAGGGGTAAAGCTAAGGGAAACAAAGGAAAGAGCCAATGGCTTCCAGGACCTGATTTCTTAATCCACCTGCTGTCATGTAGAGTTGGACCTTGTGTTCATGTCAACTGGTTATGTAATAAATTAAACACCAAGATATAACCGTTTTACTTAAAAAAAAAAAAAAAAAACCGATGAAAATCCCCTCTTTATTCTACCAACTTAAATGCTACACAGTTTAATTTCAGTTGATTTTAGATTATTTTGCAGTTTTACTTCCCCTTTGTCATTTATTTGCTTTCACTAGAAATAGACTATTTTCTTTCCATTTCTTTTACTCCTAATTTAGCCTACAGATGGGCTAGAACTGAGGAAGACTGCAGATGTGGGCAGGTCATATTTTCTGTTATTTAAAATTTTGTACTCATAGACATGATGTTTTTGAGGAGACAGTTTATCTGTAGGACAGATTTTCATAAAAAGATAATATAGTATTATATGAAACACAAGTCGTAAGCCATGTTATTCTGAGAAAATGCTCTATGAACAAAGTGTGAAAGAGTTGCACTGTCTTCCCTTCATTTGAAAATCTCTAACATAAGTGTTTAGTAGAATGATAACCAGAAGTGACTCCTGAATGACTAAGGAAAGAGGAAGTCATGGCCACTAGAGTGTATGTACTAAATGAAATGTAGTGATTTGCAGCATGGACTTTGAAATCCAAAAGACCTGGTTTGAAAAGCACTACTGCTTTCTAGTGATATGAGGTGTGGAAAACTCAAAAACCTCTCTAAAGTCTCTGTAAAATGGGGATAATAACAGTGTCTTCCTGTGTGTTATGAAAATAAAATGAGGTGATGCATTAAAGTCCTTAGTAGAGTACCCAGCACAAAGTAGCTGTTCAATAAATGATATATATGAGATAGGATGATATATGACATATGACATTTCTTTAAAAATTGGCCCCAAATTAACCAGAACTTTGGATTAACTAGGATATCTTTTCCTTGGTTATATTAAATAGTATAGAAAACCTTAATAAGAAATAGTGTATTTTCTTGGAAAGTGTTCAATAAAAAGAATTTTCCACTTTCACTTGTTTTAGAGCTAAGGCACTGTGAAACCATTGTCTATTTGAATTTCTCACTGTGTGTCAAGGATATTTTTGCTAAATCTGGGTTTGTTTATGTTTTAGAATCAATTTGGTTGCTGACAGATATTTAAATTCAAAAACAAATGCTATTTCATTTTCATATTTGAAAACAATCTTAAATTATATGTTTAACATATATAAATACAGAAATATCTTATGGCAAACATAGTTTTCTAATAGTTACATATTGTTATAGTCTGAGTGTTTGCAACCCCCAAAAATTTGTATGTTGAAATCTTACCCTGCAAGGTGATGGTATTGGGAGGTATGGCCTTTGGGAAGATTAACGCCTTTGTAAAAGAGGCCTGAGAGAGATCCCTTACCCACTCCATGATGTGAGGACGCTGCCACACACCACCTACCAACCAGAAAGAGAGTTCACACCAAACACCAAATCTGCTAGCACTTTGGACTTCCCAGCCTCCAGAACTGGAAGAAATGCATTCTGGGCTTTATTATTATTATTATTATTATTATTATTATTATTATTGAGACAGAGTCTCACTCTGTCACTCAGACTGGAGTGCAGTGGTACAGTCACAGCCCACTGCAGTGTCAATATCCCAGACTCAGGTGATCCTCCTATCTCAGCTTCCTGAGTAGCTGGAACCACAGGTTGTTTTTTTTTTCCATGCCCAGATTTTTTTTTTTTTTTGGTAGAGACAGGGTCTCACTATGTTGCCCAGGCTGGTCTCAAATGCCTTGACTCAAGTGATCTGCCTGCCTCACCTCCCAAAGTGTTGGACTATAGGCGTAAGCCACCGCACCCAATTGCCCAGCAAATTCTGTTGCTTGTAAGTTGCAAGTTTATGGTATTTTGTTACAACAGCCCAAATGAACTAACACATGGTTGTCCAGTAATCAATATTTACACACTGACACGTAGGTTAAAGAAATCCATATTAAAGAAAGTATACACCTTCTCCGAATATGCAGAAAAAAAAAAGGATAAGAAGGTAATTATATTTAATGATCTGGTATATTTTTAAAGAGTTCCTTAATCCAATCTACTCATATAATTTTTGAAAGACTGCTTTCAGATCATAAAGGGGAAGCTGATATAACTAAGTCTATAAATAAGACTACATGTTGGAAAATCCTGAGAGTGGAAATGATAATGAATCTCAGGAAAAATATAACTACAACATTTCTAAATAATTATTAACATAAACATTTTTTCTCCAGTGGAAATTCTCACTATTTATCACCTTTGTAATCCCCCTAAGACTATCTGTGACCTCCACATGTACATATCTTTTCCTCTACCCACTGATAGTAATAATAACCACTACACAGTTTATGTTCTAGTCACGACATAAAATCTTAAAACTCCCAGAGAAAGGACCAAAAGAAGATCTCAGTCAGTTTATGCCATGTACTCACAGAGTATCATTTGACTTATAAATAAAAACAGCAGTCAGTTATTGCTCTCAGAGAATGCTGGGCCATGGAACCAAGTGGATTTGGGTTCAAATTCTAACTCTGGCACTTACTTGACTATGAGGCTTTGGACAAATCCCATTAGCTCTCTGAACTTTGGGGAGTATCTTCAACTGTACAGATGGGCTTAGCAACAGGTAACAACAGGCTGTTCTAACAGAGCAGGGTGCGTGGTAAACTTTCAGTGTCCAGCAAAGCCCTCTCTTATAACTCTCCTTTGATCTCTCAGGGCTATCTTCAATTCCTGTTTTCATCATAGTTATATAAAGCCTCTCGTTCCATATTTTCACAGATTTTTTTTTAATCTCTCCAATTCAGAGCTGGCTAGAGGTCCTCAATTCTGTACTCACGAAATTAGTGAAGGAAACACAAAGTTCTAATTTCTCCACCATGATTATTATTTTGATGCTTTTAATAAAAGCATTAATTAGCAAATCCTTTTCAAGTTTATTTCATCTTGATGGTCCTTGCTTTGCTGGGGCCCTAAATGCTTACTTAATACAGTGCTGCTCCAAATATTGCATTATCTGGTTCTAGAATTACAGAGGAAGAAAACAAAGGGTATATAAGGCAGTGAGAAAGTTAACACTTATGGAGAATCAGTGGTGCTTACTAAACGATCCATAAACGTTATTTTCCTTCTGCCCTTCATTCTTGGTTTTTACAATCTGGGGAAGTATTAATTCACTCCCTACTATTAGATAAATAATTGGTACATTTAGACTGTCTCTCTCTCCCTTATCCCATTTTTTAGAGTTTATGAGTTTTACTTTTCTATTATATATATTTATAATATTAAATAATATTGGTTCATCAATATTAGATAGCATAGCATTTCTTCATTCTTATATAATATCAAAACAACTGTTGTTGACATGTATTATTACCTTCATCTCATTGATAAAGAAATTGAGGCTCAAAAGTTAAGTGGCTAATAAAGTAGAACTGGGATTTGACTATTTGTAAGGTAGAGCAAAGAGAGAAAAAAATATGTTCCCTAGTAAGTAAATACATTTTCAGAAGACAGTTATAAACAAGAAAAAAAGTAATACCTTACTTGCTGTAACTAAACCTCTGTTTCTTTCTAGTATAGTACAATATTTTCTTTTTGTTCTACTTTAAACATTTATTATTTAGGTAGTATTTAGAGATTCCAGTATGTGCTGTACTCTGGTGAAGAAATTCAAAGGAATACCAAACAAAATCACACTTTGTTCTGTAAAGCTCATTAATGTGGCTATTTTTATTGGTAGCCTCTTACTATATTTTGCTGAAATAGTAATACTCTATTAATTTCTTTTTATTTGCATGAATAACACAGTGACACTCAATAGCCCAGCCCTTAGAAAATATAACATCATTGAGTAATGAATTCAGAAATGAGGCAGATGTCCAGAGACAAGCAGCTCTAGCCATCACAACTATGCTCTGGGCACACACACACACAAAAAAACAACATAAAGGGTGGGGAAAAAAGGATACCTACTAGCTGAATCTGGTAGCCCACACCAACAGAGTCCGCTTATATTTCATCAGCCAGACTTTTGTCATCTCTGATATGGTCAGCCCATTTGAGAGGAGGTTGACGATGTAGTACTTGTAGGTGGCACATTGCCACCTTCAACTTATAAGGAAGAAGAGGAAAATGATATTGGGTAGGCAATAGTATTTACTCTGGAAATATACAGGGTTTCTAAAACTTAACACGTTCAAACTATACTTTTTTTAAAATTTTACTTTAAGTTCTGGGATACACGCGCTGAAGGTTATAGACTTTTTTTTAAAAAAGCCTTTTTTTAAACAAAATTTTAGTTTAAGTTCTGGGATACATGTGCTGAACGTGCAGCTTTCTTGCATAGGTATACATGTGCCATGGTGGTTTGCTGCACCTATCAACCCGTCATCTAGGTTTTAAGCTCCGCATGCATTAGGTTATTTGTCCTAATGCTCTCCCTGCCCTTTGCCCCGACCCCCCAATAGGCCCCGGTGGGTGATGTACCCCTCCCTGTGTCTATGTGTTCTCATTTTTCAACTCACACTTATGAGTGAGAATATGTGGTGTTTGGTTTTCTGTTCCTGTGTTAGTTTTCTGAGGATGATGGTTTCCAGCTTCATCCATGTCCCTGCAAAGAACATGAACTCATTGTTTTTTATGGCTGCATAGTATTCCATGGTATATCTGTGCCACATTTTCTTTATCCAGTCTATCATTGATGGGCATTTGGATTGGTTCCAGGTCTTTGCTATTAAAAATAGTGCTGCAGTAAACATATGTGTGCATGTGTCTCTATAGTAGTATGAGTTACAATCCTTCAGCTCTCAAAGTTTGTCTGACAGGCAGATTAGGAATAGACCCAAAGTAACTTTAACATTTGCAGTGACTAGAATATGTGCATTTCAATTTGAAAAAAAAAATCAATTTTTTCAAATTGGCTTTGTTAGTATGTGCCTTTTATTTTGGTTTACATTGATTTACTCTTTTTTTTCTCAGAATTCACAGTATAGATTTGAGAACCAATAACTTTACAAGCTAATTAGTTGAGCTTGAAATACTATTTCTTTTATGTTTTATTTTCCTTTATGCTAAGTAGGTGGCTGCCACCTCATTTACTGTTGCTAACAAGAAGAAAAAAAAATCTTTTCATTGACAAAATTAACTTTTACATGGAAATAACAGTCATATAATCTTTATATGCTCAAAGTCAGCAATAATTTGAGTAATGAAGTTTTATGTTCTCAGATGAGCATAATTTGAGTAAGTTATTACCCAAGATTAATGAATAGATATCCTTTCTTTCTATGTGGTTGCAATGAGCTTTAACAAAATTAGTGGGAAGAAAAAGTTTTTGTCGCACCTAATTAACTCACCTTGATTTAGGCGTGAATGAGTCATTGTCATTCTAAGAACTTCTTCATGGTCAAGTTTTGGATCACCATTTTTCAAATATATTGTGACTGTCGAAATTCCATGCATCTAAGTCTTTTTTGCATTGTTAACATTCACACATGAATTGAGCAAGTCAACTCTGTGTTCTCTATAATAAATAAAATGAACTATTTAATGATTTTTCATGATAGGAGTATTCAAATATGGTTGTCAAGAACGAACACTAGAACTTTCCCCGTTCTGCTAATAATACAGAATGTCTGCTTATCTATCTTACTTAAAAGAAAAAAAAAGTGTAATCAATACTTTTTTTTTTTTTTTTTTGAGATGGAGTTTCACTCTTGTTGCCCAGGCTGGAGTGCAGTGGCACGATCTCGGCTCGCTGCGACCTCCGCCTCCCAGGTTCAAGTTATTCTCCTGCCTCAGCATCTCGAGTAGCTGGGGACTACAGGCGTGCACCACCAGGCCCGCCTAATTTTTGTATATTTAGTAGGGACGGGGTTTCACCATATTGGCCAGGCTGGTCTGCTTATCTGACATTCTGTATTATTAACATCTGGTTAGTCCTCTGATGATAAGAACTACAGCAAACTTGTTTCATTTAAACACTCAAGGACAAGGATTACATAAACAAGCTGAAGACCCTGATATTAACTAGAGTGTGTGCTCAGTAATGAACTGCTTTACATAAGTTATTATCTGTATTATCTGCATCTGGTTAGTCCTCTGATAAGAACTACAGCAAACCTGTTTCATTTAAAAACTCAAGGACAAGGATTACATAAACTAGCTGGAGACCCTGATATTAACTATAGTGTGTGGTTAGTAATGAAGTGCTCTACATAAGTTATTTAACTCCTGAAAATGTCTCTCAAGGTAGGTATCAATATCCGAAGTTTACAGAAGAGGGAACTAAGACAAAGAGGATAACGAACTTGCCTGTGAGTTTTTTAAACTACATTATATTTCCTTCAAGTGCTGATGACTAAAAATGTCTGAATATAATAATTTCATAGCAGACTGGAAATCTTGTTCCCTTCAAAACCCTTTATGGAAAAAACCACATAAGGCTTTTGAGTTTTCTCGAATCTGATAATACAAGTATTTGAATTAATTAGTAAGAACACCTGAATTAGAAAACCCTCAGCAGTGTATATATTGTAAAAGAGCAGCTGTGGTTAAATTTAATAAGGAAAAAGAACATAGGCCTTTTTCTCAACCAATTAAAATTTCAATAATAGTTTAAAATTGTTAGACCACAGAATAAGTATTTTCTTTTCCCTCCTCATCCATCTTTGAAAATATAATCAAATCTAGATAATTTCCTTTAATTAAGTGAAAGCATGTGTTTGTTAATACAATATTATAAATTCAAAATCCTTTATATATGAACACAATTATACTATTTAAAAACATATTTTCATTTACATTAATAATAAAACTAGAGTGCCTGGGGTAGGATTAAGTGAGCTGGGGAAGCCAGGCTATCATTTACAAAAAAAAAAAAAAAAATTGTGGAACATATATATATGCAGATACAAATGTATATATGTCAAGAAATTCTCATGTCATAATTTGTCATATGTTGTAAATAATTTCAAGTCTATACAATTACAGTAAAGTATAGAGAAACACAGAAAACCAAATACGTGTGGCCAGATAAATCTTGAGAAAAACCACTAAGGACAACAACCAACCAATCACATAACAAATTAAAATGAAGTCCAGTAGAAGATTCTGTGGAGTCTTCAAGCTCACCAACTCAAATTAGGTGTTTTCTGACACTTACTGTTTACTTGCACAAGATTTTCTAATAGGAGTACTGTCCAAGAGAAATACAATGGGAGCCATATATTTAAGTTTACATTTACTAGTAGCTACATTTCTTAAAAGAAACAAGTGAAATTAATTTTAATAACATTTTATTTAACTGAATATACAGCCATAATATTATCATTTCCACATGTGACAAAGTCTTTGCTCAGCCAAATTTTAATCAGGCTTCTGGACCTTTCCTTAGGCCCCTCCATGTGCTTTCTTGAGAAGTCTAGTCTGCAAAAGAACCCAGCTAAGTCAGTTTAGCCAAAATTCCCTTGATATGTGATCAGACTCCTCATCTTTCATCTTCCCCCAGGAGATGTCTAATCACTCTGGCCTGTCTTTAGCAAGAATCCTGTTACATAGGTTTAGCCAGGATCCCCACTCACCCCTGATGTTTTCTCTAAGTAATTTTCCATCCACTGACCCCCACACACTGTTCCTTGGAGATAAACGCATACTTGCCCATGTTGCTTTCTGACTTGAGCCCAGTCTCTCTCCCTTACTGCAAGCCCCTGTTGCAGTGGCTCCTCTACCTATTGTGATGGTCATAAACTGAATAAAATCTTTTTTGTGGGGAGCAGGGGGTACAGGGTCTTGCTCTGTTGCCCAGGCAGGAGTGCAATGGCACAATTATAGCTCACTGTAACCTCAAACTCCTGGGCTCAAGAGATCCTCCCACCTCAGCCTCCTGAGTAACTAGCACTACAGGGGCATGCCCCCATGCCCAGATAATTCTTTTATTTATTTATTTTTTTTGTAGCAATGAGGTACCACTACATTGCATAGGCTGGTCTCAAACTCCTGGCCTCATGTGATCCTGCTGACTTGGCCTCCCAAAGCCTTGGGATTACAGGTGTGAGCCATCATGCTCAGCCTATTACCAAGCTTTAACAAGTATCATTAAATAATACTTTTTTTTTTTTTTTTTTTTTGAGCTGGAGTTTCACTCTTGTTGCCCAGGCTGGAGTGCAGTGGCATGATCTCCGCTCACTGCAACCTCCACCTCCCAGGTTCAAGTGATTCTCCTGCCTTAGCATCCTGAATAGCTGGGACTACAGGTGTGCACCACCAGGCCCGCCTAATTTTTGTATATTTAGTAGAGACGGGGTTTCACCATGTTGGCCAGGCTGGTGTTGAACTCCTGACCTCAGGTGATCCACCTGTCTCGGCCTCCCAAAGTGCTGGGATTACAGGTGTAAGTCAGCATGCCCGGCCTAAATATTTTTCTTTAACACGTGTAATCAATATAAAAATTGCTAATGCAACCTTTTACATTTTTTCATAATAATTTTAATTTTTATTCTGTGTTCAGTAGCCACATGGGGCTAGTGGCTGCTGTACTGAAAACATAGTTCAAGCGTTGTTGAGTGCTATGAGTTCTTAAGGATTTATTTTGGATCTAGGCATTGATAAAACTCGGAAGGTCAATTTAGCAGCAACAGGAATTAGATAAGCAAGTGTTTGACTTTCTTGTGGGTGCTCTAAAGTCTTAGATCACGCCAGCCTTGTATGCTAACTTTGGAGACTCATAAAGGCTACTGGTGTCTAAAAGGCTGTGAAATGTATTTTTTAAGAAGCTGTGAAATATTTTAAGTGTACATCACATAATGATTGTAAATCTGATACATCTGCACTATGAAAGTGTCAGAAAGGCTAGTGCAAACTTCAATTTTGAATAAAAAGATAAATCCAGAAAAAGAAGTGTGCATTTGTCACTCTTTTAAAAAAGAGTTGGGTGGGGAAAGGATCAAGCTTATGTAACCTAATAGGGAAAGAAAAGACAAGTCCTACTCTCTCTGACTCTTGTATTTTGTTGTGGCATTTTAAGAAGGATCCAATTGTACCGATGCAATTAAAAGTAACCAGTGGTTGTGAAAAGGCTTGAAACTACATCTTGTGAACAATGGCTGAAAGTACTTTGAATATGGTTTCTTAAAATGGGTATCTGTAGCAGGGGTAGTCAGAAGGATATGCATGGGAGAGGGAGTGGGACAAGGTGATGAGCTGTACTGGTAAATCCCTAAATGAATGTCACATACAAGAGGAAAAGAGCAAGAAACAAAGACAAATAACTACTCATAGAAGAGAGCGCAAGTTGGCTGAATACAAGCAAAGTGGCTTATAAAAATGCAATGGAAAAATGTGTCTTGTGAGGCAGACAATTTTCCACCACAGAGGATGGGGACAGTTCATGATGCCTAAGGCTCCTCTCAACACTGAGAACTGATTTTATTGGTCTCAAATATTGGAAAGGCAGTGTAGAGGTTTAATAGTTCACTGGCCTTGATGTTACAGGCAGGCCCTGTGTCTTAATCGTGGCTCAACCTTTAGGAGTTAGGTCACCTTTAGCAAGCCTCCTGGACTCTCTGGGTCTGCTGCTTCTATAAAATCAAAATAATATACTCCACATTTACTTCTGGGATTATTGCAAGGCTTTGTAACCACATAAACACGTGTCTGTTTCCATGGGATAAGCCAATAAGGCCCCTTAACACAGCCCTCCTGTTTCTTTTTCCTTCTCCTCCCTTCCTACTCTATTTCGGGTTCTGTCTTCCCACACCCAGCTATTCCTGGTACCTTCCCTTACATGTACCTTATCTTACTGCTGCATTACAGAAAAGTCTAAGGAAAAATACAAATAGTCTTTTTCCACCCTAAGGTAGCGCAAAGGGTTAATAGAGTCAAGAGGTAAATTCTGTAAAAACCATTTTTCCACATTTTTTCATCCTGCAATCGTTATTTATAAAATGAGCCAACTGCTGAAGTGGACGCCAAGAAATCACAATTTCAGGACTGCCACGAAGAATGAGTATTAAACTCCTTATCAGAGACCTTTAACCCTTATACAATGATGTATCCATGCAGGTCACCCTACACTGCCTCTACTTTAAAGTCTGCAGCAGAATAACTTTTTTTTTAAATCACTAATTTTTGAACTGTGGTCTTTACGGCTCAGATCTGGGAGTGGACATAGACCTTTCTTATTTAAACCATTGCCCACAGATAACACATAATTTCTAGCTGAATCCTTTAGTACCAATATCTCCTCTTTTCACTACCCTGATCCCCCTCGGGGGGGTTCAGGAAGATGGTTATCTAGAGGGCACAGGTTCTGGGTTCAAATTACTTGGGTGCAAACATCAAATCCACTACTCTGAGGCTGGGCCTCAATTTATCTGCAAAACGAGGATGATTCCTACCTCAGAGAGTTGAAGATTAAGTAGCTTTAAAGTAAACTTTTAAACACTTGATCCGGACACAATAAATGGGGCTACCAGAACTATCTTTCCAGCATTCCCACCAGCAAGTGCCTTAGGCGTCTTTGAGAATTTGGTCTCCAAGACCTTTCAGAGCATTCATAACTTTAAACCCTGCTCTGCTGTAGCCCCGGGCGTCTCAATAGTAAATGAACCTGCTGGCTCCCAATCCAGCCAAACCAGGAGATAGACTGAGGCTTCAGACTGCCTCGCGGATGCTCCTTGGCACTTGACGGCAAGAGCTAAAAAGAGGGGATTTAAAACACGGTTTCCTCCAGCTTAAAGTTTAAGTACCGATTTGCGACCCTACTCTCCGCAAGACACAAACCGCGGGTCGCGGCCCCAAGGCGCACGCCGGGGGGCGTGGTTATGGGCACGCGCGCGCACCCAGGGACGTGTCCTTTACAGTACCCACCGAGGCGCCGGCCCCCTCACGCGCAGCGTGGAATCCAGATCCCACGGTCGGCGTCGTTACTCTGCGCATGTGTAACTGCTAGGGGGCGGGCCGGCGGAACGCAAAATTTTAGGGAAAGAACAGTCGGAAGGGGGAGGGCGGGGCCAAAGGCGGAAGGGTTGAAATCAGCTGGCTGGGTCTCGTGACAGCCTGGGCGGTGGCAACGCAGGCGTATTAGAGCGCGGTCGCTCAAAGCCTGAGCGAAGATGGCGGCCTCCAGAGTGAAACTCTGAGAGGCAGAGGGAGGAGGCGGAGGGGGCGGGGAGGCAGCGCCGCGGCGGCACCAGGAACCCGCGGCAGCGGAGCTACAGGGCCCCGGCGGGGGAAAGGGGAAGTGGTGAGGGTGAGGAGGCCGGAGGGCGCCTCATCCCACTCTGGAAGCTGAGCCGGCGGCGGGAGGAGCTAGGGCTGGAGCCTCTCCAGCCTCCCGCGAAGGTAAAGCCAACTCCGGACACTGGACTCGGGGGCTCTGCTTTACTCCCTCCCCACGCCGTGGGGACTCTGTGGGGCTCAGGGCAGGGAAAACCGGGTGGTCTTGGCTGCCGCAGCCTGCAGCTGCTAACAGCTTACCCTTCCCCCAGGCTGCTGGTCTGGTTCCTTCCGTTGGACCCCCCCCCCCGGCTTTGAGTGACATTAGCTTAGGGCGCTGCCCTGTCCAGCCCCACCCCTCTTTTTGCCTGGTTTTCTTGTTTTTTACCTAGTACGCTCCTTCAGTCGCCTTAACAAATCCTTACCCCATACGCTCTTCATTCCCTTGTGGGCCCCGCCCTCGGGATTCCCTTCCCGTCTCCTGGACTGAGCACCCTTCCTGCTGGATGCCGGCAACTCTTGTTTCCTTGGGTCAGCGACCCTCCTTCCGCACAATTCCTGCAGACTGACTTTCTTTGCTTTATTTCGTTTTGTTAGGAAATGAGCATCCGCGTCGTCTCTTCTCCAGTACTTTTTCCAAAATCATTTTCTCCCCCAAGCCGTTTCCTTCTTGCGAGGCAGCTTATTCACGTGGCCTTTCCTCCGCTGCTGTGATTTTACCTTTGAATGTGGCCTTTGGAGTGGGTGAAGTGGGATTTAGACGCTCAGTGAAGTGGCTGTTCATCGATTATTTGATACTTAACTATGCTTAAGAGTGCCTTCCCTTAAATTTTCTCTGTTTGTAGAGTGTTCCGTTAACCACTTTTGTCTTGAGATTGTTTCCTGTGTCCTTTGCTTAGAGGGGGGAAAAAAGTAGATTTCACCCAAATGTGGCGGTGGTCTCCCAAAGTAATTATTTCTCATTTTCTCTCTGCTTTTGCCTTTTACTTTTTTCTGGTTTCCCTCAAAAAGGATGCTGTTGCGTCCTCTATGGAGGGCTTTATAGTGTACAGTTATGTTGAGCCTTTTGTAATGTAGTGTCTCAGGGAAAAAGTAGAAGTTCAGGACCTGCCCCCAGTAATTCTTTCTTACTATATTTTCTTAGTTTATGGACTTGATATGTTTCTAGGTTTGAAAGTACTGCCTGCGGGGAAAATTACTCACACTGGTCAGGTTTTGTAATATATTACCAGTACTGTGAGTTTATGGGAGTATGAAACAGAATTTGCCTTAAAAAAAATTTATAGAAACCACTTGTCAGAAATTCGGTATCCTGAACACAATTCTTTGTTTTTTGGAAAGTGCTGTATTGACTTATTTATCATATAACGTAAAACCTTGTTCACATTTTGTGTAATGTGAAACGCTTTTTAAGCTACTATATCTCAAACTTGGCTTGTGCTATTAATATCACAATGCATTCAGGCAACACACGTCCTTATGTAGAAATTATTATACTCCTTGTTTGAAAACAGGAAGTAGAACATATTAAGGGAGGAAAAGAGGAGTCAGAGGATTATTAAGAAATAAGAATGTAAAGAACCTTAAAGCTAGAGTTCAGTTCATGGAAAATTCAGCGTTTGTATTCCACTAAGAGGCAATGAATATTTCTCTCTTTCTAAAGCGGTAGTAATAAATAGCCTAAAATATATTAATGTCATATATTAACATTGCTTAGTTGTAAACAAAATACTTAAGCTAAAAAATAAAATAGCATCAATAAATGAATGAATTATTTGGAGTAATTTAACTTTATCCACAAATAAATAGAAGATGGTTGCCTTGCCCAGGTGGACTGTAACAATACTGGCTTTATTAAATTTGTTAAAATGTTGATAGTGGAGTCTGGTTCTCAATAGTTAAATTAGGGTTGAAATTGAAAAGACGTGTTTTAACTAATTTGGCCTCATTCCTCCACCAGTTCTATTTACACAGGTGAATTTGAGGTTTCTGCTACACATACCTTTCCCCTGCTTCTGATTGAAGTACTTTGAATTAGTAAATTGAAACAAGACTGTGCAGATAAACTGCAGCACAAATTTGGTTGCTACAAATAGGTTTTGGCCTAAATGTTCACTGTAATGTTTGGTAGTAAAGGGGAGTTATTAATATTTTGAAAGAGTTCCTTGAGTCAGTGTTTCTCAACTTTATTAGACCCAATAAAGTCTCCCTTTTTATACAAAATAATTAGTAACACCTTCTTTGCTACCTTTAGTTTATAAGTAGTGTAACCACCTCTGGCTTTGGCCCTGAGACAAAAAAAAAAAAAGCTTTGCTCTCACTTCTGTAACAAAAAAAGACCTACACTACAAATTCATGACTTTATTGAAATCTGTTAAAGAGCTGAGTCCACAGAGCAAAACCACTGGCTGAAAATTTGAGAGACGGTGCTTACAGAGAGTAGATGTCAATTTCTATTTGCCTTCTTCAGACACAACTGGACAAAAAGCATGATGAAGGCTTGAATGCATAATCTTGCAAACTTATCCACAAACCTCCGTGGGTCTACTAGAAAAGATTGGAAAGAACCCTGGGTGTGTCTGTTGTGCAGTTTGAGAGGGAGGGGAACAGCAACAGAACTTTTTAAGAGGGTCAAGAAACTGCTGTGATTCTTCCCCTCTCTGCGTCTTCTGTGAAAAAAAGCTTTAATCTGTGAGGAGAAGGGCATCTCTGTTGGCCCCATTGGTGAACATTCAGGGTGTAGACGAGAAGTGGGAGAGAATCTTATGCCTGGAAGGGCCCTGAGCCCAAAACTGCAGCTGGGGGTGGTCAGCAGAACCAAGAATGCTACCCTCCTGAGATTCAGGAACACAGTGTTTGACTTAGCCTGAACTTTAATCAGAACATCAGACTGTATCCCCCAACCCCCACCCCCTGCCACCAAGCTAAGAAGCTTTCAATAACTAGTAACCACAAAATACTACTAGGAAAGAAACAAGATTATGCAAAGAGGCACAACACAGAGAATCAAACAGGCATTGCTCTAGTAACCATCGCCCACCAGAGACACAAACTGTTCTGCAGATATGTGAAGTCTGTAATACAGTGAGGATAACTATGGCAATAAGAGATCATAAACTAAGTCCAACTCCTAACCAGATTAACACAAACCCTTCAAAGGCTTCACAAAGAGCAGGCATGCTCATTTCCAGTCATAACAATTACCTCAGTCTCTCCTACACAACATGTCCAGCTTTTAACTAAAAATTATGAGACCCATGAAAAAGCAAAAACTCCCAAGAGAAAGAACAGTCATGATATGTTTTTTAAAAAGATAGGGTCTTAAAAACAAGAGTACTGTTTTGTAAAAGTTAAATACTATAATAATTATGGCATTTTGCCTTGAAAAAGTTTGCTTGAGGCAGTGAGCATTGGATGGAGTTGCAGTTTGTGAATTACTGTGAAGTAGTAGAAGGAAAAAAGTTATAAGATGGAGTGGAAAATTAGTAATATATATGTGAATGTATGTGGTTCATTGACCACCTGAAGTGTGTGTGTGTGTGTATTTTGTGAATTTCTACATGGCTCAGTTCAGTTGGGTACAATTTTCTGCGTTCACTTAGTGTTGGGACAAGAATCACTATAAGCAAATGGGAAATTTACATCATGCTCAAATTGTTCAGTAATACACCAATCCTGTTAAATTCACATGATCAGAAAAGCATTATAGCAGAATTGACTATATGCATTTCAGTATGTAAATAGTTAAGTATGATTATACCAAAATACACAAAGGACATGTCAGAGGCGCTTGTACCTTTACGTGGAATCATTTTGAGATTTTTTTTTTTTTTTTTTGAGACAATCTCACTCTGTCACCCAGGCTGAAGTGCGGTGGCACCATCTCGGCTCACTGCAACCTCTGTCTCCTGGGTTCAAGCGATTCTCCTGCCTCAGCCTGAGTAGCTGGGACTACAGGTGCTCACCACCACACCCGGATGGTTTTTTTGGGTGTTTTTTTAATGTGTGTATTTTTAGTAGAGACAGGGTTTCACTATGTTGCCAGGCTGGTCTTGAACTCCTGACCTCAAGTGATCTGCCTGCCCAGGCCTCCCAAAGTGCTGGGATTACAAGCGTGAGCTACCATGCCTGGCCCATTTTGAGTTTTGACAGAAATGTTGATGGCTACAGATTTATCACATTGGTGACTCAGATACCACAATTGGGATTATTAGCATTGTCAGAAAAGAACAAGGTTAATAAAGTATAATCTCTTGATTTACATTGTAGTTACATTCCTGGAAAAATCTCTGTATATTAAACCTTGCAAAATGTACTTGGTGAGTTATATATAAAACAGAATTAGATTCTGGGATTCATTCATTATAAATAGGTTTTTGCCTACATGACTAACCATTTGGACTTTTGGACTTTCTTTTCTTTTTTTTTGAGACCTCATTCTGTTGCCCAGGCTGGAGCACAGTGAGACGATCATAGCTCTCTGTAGCCTCAATCTCCTGGGCTCAAGCGATCCTCCCACCTTAGCCCTCCTTAGTATCTCGAACCATAGGCACGCCATGTCCAGCTAATGTTTTTAAAAATTTTTAGTAGAGACGAGGTCTCACTGTTGTCCAGGCTACTCTTGAACTCCTGAGCTCAAGCAGTCCTCCCACCTCAGCCTCTCAGAGTGCTGGGATTACAGGTGTGTACTACCACACCTGGCTCACTTAGACACTTGAAAGTCTTATGGTGCAGACAGTACTTATCTTTGGGACTGTAATATATGTCGAGTGTCTAGTCTCATCCACTAAATGCTAGTGCTCCAGTCATAGTGCCTCAGATGAGATGGCATCCTACCCCAACCACTACTTTA